CAACCTTTATGGACACGTGTGACACACCCCTCCCTCCTGCCCTCCCCCTCCCCTCCCTCCCTCGGCCCTCCCCCCTCCCCTCCCTCCCTCGCCCCCCCCCCTTTCTGTCCCTCCTCTCCCTCTATCTGCCTATCTTTCCTCTTTGTCTTATTCTCCTCCCTCCTCTCCTCCTCATTTCTCTCTTTCCATCTTATCTCTCTTCTTTTCTTGTCCCTTTCTTCTTTGTCCCAATTCTCCTCTTTCTTTCTCTTGCTATTTTTCCTCTTTGTCCTATTCCTCCTCAACTTTCTTTCTTTCTCTTGTCCTCTTTCTTCTTTGTCCCATTCCTCCTTCTCCTTTTTCTTTCTCGTACCATCCTTCCTCTTTTCCCATTCCTCCTCCTTTCTCTTTCTGTCTCCTCCCCTTATCGCGTTCTTCTCATTCTCTTTCCCTCGCTATCATTCCTCCTTGTCCCATCCCTCCCTCTCTTCTACTCCTTTTTTCTCTCCTCCTTTTCTTCTTTTCTTTCCCCTCTGTTTCTCCTCTTTTCCCTCTCTTCCTCTACTCTCTCTCTCTTCCTCTTTTCATCTTTTCTTCTCTCTTTCTCCTCCTCCTTTTTCCCCCCTTCTCTTCTTCTTTCCCCCTTCCCATCCACGCTCGAATCTCGCTCCACGACCCCCCCCCCCCAAAGAAGGCGTGTCTCCCGAAACAGGCCTCGCGAACCACTTTAAGCCCCGCCCCCTTCCCTCCCCAAAGACCTCCGAACCAAACCTCTCCACGTGGAACCGAGAGTGCCTGTCTGCCTGCGTGGGAGGGAGGCCGCCTTTTCCTCACGGGCTGCCGAAGAGGACATCCGAGGCGTCCTGACCTGCGCTGGACTCTCCCTCTCCCTCTCCCTCTCCCTCTCCCTCGTTTCCTGAAGGACGGAGCGCCAGGAAGGAAGGGAAGAGGAGGAGGCTGACCAAAGGACAAAAGGAAAACCTAAAAGACCGTGATTTTCCTAAAAGGCATCGTCGAGCTCTCCCTTTCGGCCGTGTACAGAAATACATATAAAGACATGGTAGAAAAACCCACAGTGCACAAACTAGATTTATCTAGTTTGTACATTGTGGGTTTTTCTACCATAGTATCAATACGGCAGAGTGTTTTTCCATTCATGTATAGACATATTTATACGGAATAAGTATACATATGTATACTGAATATGCACACAGAAATATGTACACTGAAATGTGCAAAATGTATACAGATGTATGTATACATAAATATGTACACAGATATATACATGCACAGACATATGTATGCATAAATGCGTATATAGACATATGTATGCAGAAATGTGTATACATAAACATGTATGCAGAAATATGTAAACAGATATATGCATACAGAAGTAGTACACAGAAACATGTATACAGATATGTATACGTAATATGTACACATTAATATGCACACAGGAATATGCACTCAAAATATATACACAGCAATCTGTACACATAAATATTCATGCATAAAATGTATAAATATATATACAGAAATATGCATTCCCATATTTTTTCGTTAAAAAATATGGGATTTCTTTTCTCCCTCCTTATTCCCTTATCCACAATTTCCGTTTGGTCATCTGAGGAGCCAGCGAGGTGCCGAGGGAAGGTCACCCAGGGTCACAGATCGAAGTCCTAGCACCGTCACCGAGAACTACACTTAAATACACCCGAAAGAGGACAACGCGAACATCAACACTTCCTTTGTTTTCTTCTACCGTCCGCCATCAGACGTGTGACAAGGAGATAGAATTCGTCCACAAGCCATCGAATTATGTATCTTCCTGTCGAGATTTATTTATTTTTCATTTTTCCAGAGAGGGGAATTTCACACGCTGAATCTTCTTCTCATTTTTTTTTCTTCTCTGTGTCTTTTATTCGTTCTCTTCTTGGTCTGGTTATTCATCAAAGGCGGACATCATTTATCACATTGCTTTGGCTATCATTTCACGTCAAGCCTTCGGGTAATGCGTTCCACAACTGCCTTTGCAGATTCGGAAATAAATCTACGGACTGGATCAACATTTTCAAAACACACACACACACACACACACACACACACACACACACACACACACACACACGCATATATTTACACACACACATATATATATGTGTGTGTGCGCGCGCATAATACGAGTTAACAGTACCTGGCGATCAGGTCCACAATTTCCGGCATATTAAGGGGAATTCGCATCCCGCACCAACTCATATATCGCGACAGATGCCAGGCTTATGCGATAGCCTTCGGTCCACTAATGAGAAATACCAAACCGCCCCCCTCCACCTCCACCTCCCCCTCCATCCCTCCTGCTTACCACTCCCTCTCACTCCCCTCCCCCCTTTCACAAACCGCTCTCAGTCTCTCCAGCCCTCTCCCCCATTTACTCTTCTCTTTCTTCTTCGATCTTTCCTCTCTTCTCCTTCCTTCTCCTCACCCTTCTCCATCTCTCCCCGCACACCTGTCTCCCTCCCCC